ATCAGTACTGAAAGTATTGTCGAAGGGATCATGTGCACTTTAACGGTTATAAGCCTAAATTAATACAGGGAAAAGTCTCATCAATCCACCTCGGATACGTAATACAGTACTCCCATTTGGAGTTCGCCTCTGCTCAGCCTTAGCCTCGATTGTGTACAAATGTGTTCTTTTCTTTTATTAAGGTCCATTGTATATTAAGGAATGTATGTACTACGGGACAATACGAGTTGACGAAAATGTTACGGGTTTTAAGGTAAGGACAACATTGCACGCAACAAATTTGAACCGGGGTGACACACGTTGCAACAAAATCACTCAACATCGCTTGTGTCAGAATGCTATGCAGGCATGTTCACACGATGAAGTTTGTTGCGCGCAATATTTATCTATTTATTAGTTTCGCCATATATTAAACTGGAAATATAATAACTGAAAAATACTGTGATATATATGAATGAGTAGAGCGCGATTCAACTTCAGATTTGTTGCATGAAATCTTGCGTGAAACAAGTTTCAGGGGTAGACACACGCTGCAACAGTCCTGTTGCGTGCAATGTTACACCGTGTGTTTTAAGCTGTAGTTGAGGGGCTGAATATTTTACTGCACAACTTGGGCTAAGGCTGAGCAAAAGAGAACTCGAAACTGGAGTATAAAATTACAGTCTTACAATTTCAATGACTTCATAGGCAATCTTTTTATTTAACTTGGAAACAATTATCAATAACAATCTAACAAGTTATCGGAATGATTTCTAGCTGCTACCAATACATCTTCAAGAAAACCTACTGGGTCTTTCTGAACGCTGATATCGATAGAAGTACATAAGGTAGAAAGACAACTGACATCTAAACGATATAAAATAACTTTAAATGTATCTACAGAGAACACTTTTGATGTATCTATGACGCCTTGTACCTGCTCTTGTGTTTCTATTGGCTGGACCTGCTCTGGTGTTACTATTGGCTGATCCTGTTCTGATGTTACTATTGGCTGTACCTGCTCTGGTGTTACTATTGGCTGTACCTGCTCTGGTGTTACTATTGGCTGATCCTGCTCTGGTGTTACTATTGGCTGATCCTGCTCTGGTGTTACTACTGGTTGATCCTCTTCTGAAATTACTATAAGCTGATTATTTTCTTTGGATTCGTTCGGTTGCTCATCCAATCTACCATACAGGTTTTCCTTTCCATAAGGTTGGAATTCGATTCCCGTTTTACTTGATCCCGAGAGATGTGTATGCGTTATCTCCGAATGCACGAAACCTTTCAAGGTGGAAATAACCTCCAAGGCCTTTTCGCAAACCAAACTATCGCAGTCGTTGACTGCCTCTAGAAGAGGCACTGCAGCTCCCAAACCAACCAAAAGCGCCATTAGGTTGTTAATTGAACCGTCGTTATCTGAGGAGGTTCTTTCAAGAGTCTTTAATTGGCACTGTTGTGAATGTCTCGACTCATTACGACTCTCTCTGACTTGCGCAAAAATCTGAATTATAGTTTCTACGAGTTGGAGTGCACGAATTTTAACTTCCCAGTCGAAATCTTTGACCGCATATCTAATGATATCAGAAAATAAAGATCTAATTTCAGAGTCGGTATTCTTTAGTTTGTCCAGTCCAGTAGACGAAGATAACTTCATTTTGTCTGGTAATATTACAGATACGATGGGATGTTGGTCATGTGACCACTTGATTAGACAGTCCATCACGCTTCGTCTCGGGAACGCCTCGCTTTCATTCTCCAGAACATGCACGATCTTTTTTAGAACTTCAAACTGTCAATGGAAACAGAAAAATTACTAAGACAGTTTTATTTAACAATTCCAGCACAGGAAGCCAAATTTAGAGAAAGGTGAAAGATAATAAGATCTAAAAAAATCGACTTTGCTTATTGTAAATTATATGACCATGTTCGTACTCGGCTGGCGCGAGTACCAATTTTGACCTTACTGCCCTCCCGCTTAGGAATTTTGTCACGTGTACACAACCCACCACCCACCACCCCAGGGGCTAATATCGCTCAAGATAAATTCTTCTACAAATGGGGCTAGTTTTGTTCAAGATAAATTCTTCTACAAATGAAGATTTCTTGTTCGTTGTTTTTCAGTTGCAGTCTCATAAAGTTTTACTGACAGTATTGGCAAATCTATAGTGACCATTACAGTCACGCAAATAAACTTGTGTATAAAACCCCTTTTACTTTAGCAGTTACCTCTGTAAGACGTTCCTTTTCCTTCAATTTTGCCCACAAACCAGGATTACATGCAAGATGTCCAAGACAAGACCAAGCTGACGACCTTACGTAACTCTCGCTGTCATCCACTGATTCCCACACCAATGATAAAATACTTGGGTTTAATATATCATATGACAATGCTTCTGAAACCAAAAAAGTCGCTTTTTAACTAAAATTTTTACTGCGATCTAATTTTCATTTAACATATGTAGGCAGGCAGGCGGGCAGGCGGGCAGGCGGGCAGGTGCACAAAATGCAACCTTAGGAATAAATCCCATTTACGAGTAGGGAACACAGACATTTCGAGAACTACCTGAGTTTAATTTGATTAAACGTCCAACGAACTCCAAAGCGGAGTCTTTAACCTCCCACCGCTGATCACGAAGCCGTAGGTGTATCAAGGAGCCAAGATCTTGCTTAGTCCGTTGATAGTATAGATGGGCATCAGACCCGAGGTCTTTATTGGTAGATGACATGAAAAGAAATGAACCCTGGCCCAGAAGAGCACCAATACACTCTAGAGTGCTTGTTATGACCTAGAATCAAAATCCAAATTCAACAAGCATGAGTCTTTTATTTTGTCTTGGTTTTCCGTATAACCTTTTCTATATTTTTGGAGTGCATATGACGTCATAGCCGCCATTTTGGTTGACTTAGACAAAAGATTTGGTCTTGGTATCTTTTGTCATGTCAACCAACATGGCTGCCACGTCCTTTGTCCTTTTATTCTCATGGGAAGAGATGCACGTCATCAGTTCTTGTATTGCACATTACGTCATGGCGGTCATGTTGGTGCTGTTTAACGAAAACGTTCTCATTGTTAATCGTACCAAAAAAACCGCCATTTTTTTTTTTTTTTTGATTTTCTTGGGAATACTTGCAACCCATCAATAGTGTCTGGTGTAACGGGCATGATCATATAAGAACTCACTTACCGTAGGATCAGTTCGAGAAGACCTTGCAACAAGGATAGCAGTATTCAAGACATGGAAAAACTGGTTTCTGTTAGAATCTGTCAAGCCTTGAGCAAGAGAAAAAATACCAGTAAAAATACACATTAGCCCCGGGGGGGGGGGGGGGGGACCCCCCTTTTTTGCCTAAGGGGTGTGGGGCTCACCCTTAGGAACCCTACAAACTGAACATTTGCAGCTATGCAAATTGAAAGACTCAAAGTCTTAAGAATGTGTGTGGGTGAGTGGAGTGTGGTGTGGTGTGGTGTGGTGT